AACATTCTAAAAGGTAATGAGGAAGATAATATGTGAATGCCACGTACCGCGATAACTCATTCATTCTGCAAGCATGGCAAAGACAACTAAACTCAACAAGAATCTCTGAATGAAAGTAGTTGATGTGCACAAACAATTTTTGGGCATATTTGAAGAGAAATAAGTCCTTTGAATTTGGGGGGAATTAGAAGCTATTGCCAAGAAAGAATGGTGCAAAATACATATCAATGTGTGTAGTGATCTTGTAAGGAACTATCAAAAATTGATTAAAGGCAATAATCAAGAATAAAGGTTTCAATTGATTATTAAAGCAAGAGGGCTAATATTTTTGTCCTATATTAAATGTTTTTTGGTGTTTTTTCTTGTATAATGTTTGACATTAAAATCAAAATTTTGTTGTAAGCATCACTGCACACTCTTTCAAATTCATTATTTCATTTGTGACAAAATGCACATGAAGTTTCCAATGAAAATTTGATGTATTACAGATTTATTTGTAATTATAGAAGTCAGTCAGGTGAATAGTTCTGTCCACAACTATATATGCATATATGTGTGTGTGTGTGTGTGTGTGTGTGTGTGTGTGTGTATAAAGGGTGTTTCATTAAGATGGATCAAAGTCAGCAGTAATTAAATCAGTGTTATTGGTGAAAATTTATTTATTTTTCTATTGGATCATGTTATTTAAGTCATGGCAATTATGTGTAAAAAATAATATTGCTCAAATATCTACCAAATCTGAAAGAAAATGAAAAAAACCATTAGACGCTTAAACTTAATTCACATTAAAATTATTGAACACCCTTTTATATATATATATATATATATATATATATAATTATTTTATAAAAAAAAATTATAACATAAGTATGTTATAAAATCACTACAAAAAATAGCCATTTTGTTTCAACACACTCTGTGTCTTATCAAGTGATGATGTTGAAAATAAAATAAATGGTTTTAAAAGTTTCAGATTAATTAACGATCCTACACTAGGGGAAACATTGTTACAAAAGCTAGAATAACCAAGTATAGAAAGATTCAAAAGCTTGACAACGAATTCATGTTATAATAACTATTCAGATCTTTAAAATACGTGTAATTTATACTAACCAATAATTATAAAATTATATGATAAAATTTAATATTAAAATTAAAAACTGGCAATTTTAAAAAACAAATTTAATCACTATTAAGTTTAAAAACTACGAAAAGAAAAATATATATGTTTATTCAATTCATTTCTTCATTGAAATTACGTTCGACAAGACGCTACAATATATCCGGTCATTTGACAATACATGTATATATATTTTTTATTCTAAAGTGTGTGAATGTGGTCTTAAACTCACGCGCAAAACAACAAAAACACAATCAGATTATAATACATAAGCACCCAGACATAATTAGATATATACACACACGAGCGACGAGACAGGAACATCTCTACAGCTCTTTATGAAAAAAGGAAACGGGGAAACCAACACCTATACACACACACAGTTAAATGTGAATACACTCTACATACACATAGACACTGATAGATACACGTACACACATCGACAGACAATAATGACATAGACAATCAGATACCACAACCAATAAATATTTCAGACTTAAAGTATCATTAAATAAATGCTAACCACTTATTAAATTACAACTTAAGGGAGCAAATATACAAAGATAAAAATGGTTAAAAAATAATATTATTTAATATATTAAAACGAAAATTCCAAAACCATAAATATCAATAAAAATATATATTAATAATATAAGTTGATAATAGTTTCATTATATATTAGGCAAAGAAAAACAGGATAAAGAAACCCACAGATACATATATATATACACACGGCAGCAAACACAAATTAACACACATAAACATACACTCATACATACATATACATACAGAAATACATACAAATAAATATATAAACATAAACATATACACACATATACATATCTATGATAACAAGTACACATGCACACACATATACATATAAACATAAATACACACATATATACACACATTTTTATGCACACATACTCACATATATAAAAACAGTCATGACATACCAAAGTTTCCATACCCACACATACACACAAACAAACTCGTACATAATAGGTGCCAACACACGCATATACATCCACAAACATACATAAATATATATACACACATACATACATAAACATATATATAAATATATCTATCTACAATAACAACTACCAATATATACATGCATACATAAAAATACAACAACACTCAACCAAATACATATATAAACGTACTAACATATAGATACATAAATATACATTCAAATACCAACACACACCAATATACATATACCCTAACATACAAATATATAAACACATTCATACAAACAGAAATATACTTAAATATAAATATACATACACAATAAAATAGGACACATACAGATATATACATATATACACACACAGATATATATATACACACACATACACACATACACACACACATACATATATATACAAATATATCGTGGCACAAAGCTGAAATTAGGGGGCACCCAGTGAGGAACGAACTCATTACTCAGTCGCAATTGATCTAGCGAACCATGCTTGCCAACCATTATACCGCCGCGATGTGATCATACATACAAATATACATATTTATATATATATACACACACACACACATACATACATATACACACACACACATACATACATATATATACACATATATATATATATATATATATATATATATATATTTAGATATATACATACATATATATATACATATACACACATACACACATATACACACATATACATATATATACACACACACATACACACATACATATATAGGCACACACATACACATATACATCAACAATTATTAACCTTTTCTCTTCTAATCTACCATACCTTCCCACATTATATATATATATATATATATATATATATACGCACACACATATATATACACACACACCCACACACCCACCCACACACACACACATATATATATATAAAAAAAAAACATATAAATACACTTATATTCAAACCTACACATTCCTCAGTGCAAATACTCTAACCAACACATAAATAAATATATACACATATACACCAACACTAATAACACTATGCAGGTAAACAATACACATTTATATCGTAAGTATGACCATCATGCAATAAAAATACTAATCTATTAAAATTACAGTGACATATCATTATCATTTAAAGTATACGACCCCCTACACTAAGTTAAATTTATAACGGTGTTTGCAATTAACTGTAAGTCCATATCTTTGATTTAAGAGTTCAGCCTTGTTTTTAAATCTAATAATTTCAAATTTTTCATTAAGGCATAGGTAACATGGGGCATATAGGAAGTTACATGTCCGAGCTTTCTTAACCAAACTCCATTTAACCGTAGGTGTTTTGTTCTTTTCTTTTAGATTCCAAAAATACTTGGATAATGAAGTCATGTACCTATATTCACTGTGATTAAAGGATTGCATATGCCCCCGCCAGCGTTCCTTGAATGTTTTCATGGTGCTAACAATGTAAAACTTCTTTATATTTGGATTTTCAATTGTTGAAATAGTACTAAGATAGACTACAGAAGTAATCCCACAGTTATTTTGTAGTGGACAATTATTCGGATTTTTACAATTACATAAGTTGTTATTTGTATTATTATATTTAGTATTGCAGTTAGTAACCTGTTGAGTAGTCAAGCCTTTTATATATATATATTAGTACCCTTACACATAGAGCTTTGATGATCTGCTCAGAGTCTAAGCTAGATGAAGAGATGAAAGCAATTACTAAGTCTCTAGCTAATAATGGGTACCCTTTAGATATTATTAAGTCGGTCATGAAAAAGAAAATCTTAAATTTCTCTAAACCCAGACCGAGTATGGCTTCTAAATGCCCTGTGTATTTGTCTTTGCCCTGGTTCGGTTCAATAAGTGATAAATTTGCCAAACAAATCAACTCAATGGTTAAAAATTGCTATTTTTCTGCCAATGTTTGTGTTGGTTTTTCTACCAGGTCTCCTTGGGTGTCTGTTTGGAAGGACGTTCTACCTCCCCACCATATTAATAATGTAATATACCGTTTTGGATGTAGTTGCAGAGCCAACTACATAGGTAGAACTACCTTATGTTTAGATGCATGGATGCATTAACCAGCACATACCCGGAAGAATTAGAAATGGTACATTCCAATTTGGTGACAAGATCAGGAATACATACAGCTCTGCCATTGCTAAACACCTTATAATCAATCCAAGTTATGCCACAAATTTCAGCATTGACTCATTTTCCATCCTTAGTCATGCTCATTCTGTGTTACACTTAAAGATATTGGAAACAATCTATATCAGGTCCAGGCAGTCCTCCCTCTGTAAACAGAGGGAATGCCTGTTAGGGCTTGACATGATTTCCATCTGATCTTTCCACCTTTATTTTATCCCATGCTTCTCATGTTTTTATATTTTATATTACAATATTTAGTCTCCCCTCAATTTCAGATCTGTTGAGTGAGGGCGAAACCAGTCGGCTGGCCATATTTGTTTTTTTCTTTTAATCATGAATGGTAAAGCTTGTCTTGCCGTTTTTATTTCCATAATATATATATATATATATATATATATATATATAATTTCTATATATATTATATATTCACAGACAGTACTTATTGGAAAGTTCTCAATATCAGTGATAGAGCTAATTTATTCCATTGTATGGATATGAGTTTGTAACCCTAGATTTCACATTTTTCGATCATCAGACAAATGATGATTGCAAAAGCATGAAATCTAGGGTTACAAACTCATATCCATATAATGGAATATATATATATATATATATATATATATATATAGAGAGAGAGAGAGAGACATAGATAGTGATCAAATATGGAACAGAATCCAATAGAATGATAGGATAAGGACCAAATAGAAAACATACATAAATTTAAGTTTAGCTTTTATTTATGCTTCATTAGATAGATAGATAGATAGATAGATAGATGTGTTCAAAAGCTAACAGCACCTCCTTTTTTAATATACAGCAGAAAATCATTTTTTTATAGAAATCTCTGGAAATTTTTGCACAAACCAAATGTGTGTATATATATATATATATATATGGTATGTCACTATGATAAAAAAAAGCATTTATTTTACATGACAAATATTTATTTCCAACATAGTCTCCTTTCTTGGTACTGCACTTAATCCATTGCTTCCCCATTAACCACATAAATTGAACATTGTACAGTGAACATTTCAGTTAATAACAATGTCAGTTTATGGGCTTTTTTCATCCATACTCATATTGTGCCTTTTTTTCCAGAGTATAAAATGTTTAAAAGTTTTCATATAATTTTTTTTTGATACATTAAATGAAAACAAAAACTAAAAGGTAAATCCAATGAAGGTTTCAATGAGAATAATCACTTCTCTAATTAATGACAGTTACAGTTCATTATGGAGAATAAAATATGTCTCCTTTTATAGATGCTTCCTGATTATACACTACTAAAGCAGAAATTTTTAGCAGCTTACCAAAGTTGTTGTCCTCACTAACACATGAAATTTATCAAAGACTATTTTCTTGATGGCTATTTTTCGTCTATATTCAATGGGTTCTTTATTTAAAAGCATGCAGAGATCTGCTCATAAAATATTCATGAATGTTTTGTTTTCTTGTTTTTTTTCTTGTTTTGTTTTTTTACAACTAACCTCATTGGTTTTTTTTTCTCAATGCTTTGAGTGGTCCAAAACATTTTGAAAAAAATAATTACAGAGATGAAGAAGAAAAAAATTACTGAATATTAATAACTCAGCTCTAAATCTCAGACTACTTGCATGATAAGATTGTTTACTTTTCTCAGAAATAAAGATCAAAGTTTATAAACAATTGTTCATAAAATGACATTTGGTTTCAATCTAAAATTTTATTGTATTTAAATTGGAGATGTTGTACATTTTCATAATGTAATGCTTCATATATCATCTACTTTGACTATGTATACACACAAAGACACCCACACAGCCACCCACATTCACACAACAGATAGATAGATAGATAGATAGATAGATAGATAGAAAGAAAGAAAGAAAGAAACAGTGGGGATATAGAAATCAACACTGTATGGTGGCTAGGAGGTTTACACATCAAATAATATGTAGACCATTTTTCATTATTTCATGTACAGGTTACATATACAGACCATGATGAATGGGTCTGTACGAACATGGTGGGGGTGTTTAAACCAGCCCTTCCTATTTTATTTTTTTAAGGAAAATGATTTAAGTTATTTATATGTCTGACCTTGTGTTTATTCATTTTATTTATTTATTTTATCTATCTACTTATACAGGGTGTATCAATAATACTTTTTCAAACTTTGGGGGCAAGTTCCTAACACCAAAACATGAACAAAACTCCAGATAAACATATGCTCACAAATCCTTTGCTTTTGAGTTATTAAGTTTAAAGGAAGTTTATGGTAGATGGTGCTGTGTTGCTATGTAGACTAGGTTACATTTGTCATTCTTGTACATTTGTGGCTAGTCTGTTTTCAATGTTTAATGTGTATAGTAGTGAGTTAACTGAGAAGTGTTCCATATAACAATGGCTGAATATTCATGTCATGAGCTGGCAGATATAATTTTTACATATGGCTGTGTGAATAGCAATGGATAAAAGGCTGCACAGTTCTATCAGATTGTGATTCCAGACCGAAGGCAGCTGAGTCGTCCAATCTTTGCATTGCGGAGACAGGATCCATGGAACCACAGACTATGAATCTAGGTAGACCGAGATTCTACAGGTTGATCCAGGTATCAGTACATGTCATGTGGCCCTAGCATGTTGTACATCTCACATTATCACATGGAGGGTACTTCAAGGGCAGTTCCTGTATCTGTATCATTTACAATGCGTGCAGGGTCTTTCACACTCTGATGACTCACCACAGGAGAACTTTTGCCAATGGTTTATTGCACAAACTGCTGATCCCTTGTTTACCCCTTCAGTCTTGTTTACAGATGAGGCAACATTTAGAATAGATGAATAACAAATTCACACAACCATCATTTGTGGATGGATCAGAATCCCCATGCTAGAATACAGGCTTGACATGAGCATCAGTTTACAATTAATGTGTGGGTTGAAATTGTAAGTGACTGTGTGGTAGGTCCATGTGTCCTCCCAGCACATCTTACAGGAGGTGTCTTCAGGGACTTTATTTGAAACTCACTTCCAGACATGCTAGAAAATGTACCCCTGCTAATATTTTAGTCACATTATTTGCAATGTACTTGTTGATATCTATCATATAAGATGGATAGGTAGGGGAGGACTGGTTCCATGGCCTGCATGTTCACTGACCTCAATACTTTGGATTTTTATCTATGGGGCCAACTAAAACAATTGGTTTATGTAGTAGACATTAATAATGTGGAGGCGCTTCATCAACGTGTCATGGGTGCTTGTGACACCATTCAACACCATATGGGAGTATCTGAAAGGGTCTGCTAGTCACTGATGCAACAGGTGCATGCATGTGTGGAAGCAAGCAGAGAACATTCTGAACATTTGTTATAAATTACTGTATTGAGATACAATGATGGCTTTCATGTTTATATGGATATTTTACCTTGTTTTGGTGTTAGGAAACTGCCCCAAAATTTGTAAAAGTATTTTTGATACACATTCTATGTATATTCTTTTTTATTCATGATATGATTCTAGGTAGTGTATATGTATTTATAATTATATATGTATAATAAACTATAGTTCTATGGTATGCTATATTTATGTGTTAAAGTGCTCAATATCAGGGATAGAGCATATGTAAATATAAAAGTGAACCGTGAAATCAACGTGCATTTAGCATGAAAGATGCGACAGTCTGTTTCATGCTAAACGCACGGCCTGATGATTGCATTTAGCATGAAACAGACTGTTGCCTTTGGGTGTTGACTTCAATGACATATATATATATATATATATATATATATATATATATATATATATAGGTATATTATGTCTATTTTTATAATAATCCTTTCCAGTTCTCTAATTATCTTCTTGATGTTAAGTTGAAATCCATCAGAAGGTGCCCTATTTTTTGTTAATCCAAGTACTTTCAGTCCCTCTGAGATCATCCCCAAGGTTTAGTTTGTGAAAACAAACTTAATTGAACTGTAATCATTGTGATAGTGATTTTGCAAACACATGTGAACAATATCAGTCAGTTATGTGCCATGCGTGATACACACTTAGGTGATCATGTGTCTTTTGTTACATGACTGATGAGGCAGATTTTGTTGCTATTTCTTTCTGCGGTAGACCAGTTGCCATCCAAGGCTATAGAACCTGGTCTGTCCTGCTATTTACCCATATCTGGGGTGAGAAGAAGATTCATACCTTTCCCAAGAGTATTAGCATGTAAGTGAATGTAATGGATTTGACTGGGATTTGAACTCAGCTCTCCGATTCCTCAATCCAAGCCACTGTCCATTACTCCTCCATGCGAACAATATACTGTACAATAAAAATAATAAACAAAAACTTCAAATTCTCCAATCACTCTATATCTAAAGCAACCAACTAATACTGAACAAAATTTATTATGAGTATAGGAGCAATGTTTTAAAATGTATTTGATTTGACTAACATTTAACTCCATTTTGAAATTTATCAAGTTGCAGTTTTACCATTTCTCGTTATTGCTTGTTACAAAGCAATAATCAGAGAAGAGATTTCCAGAGGCTAAAAATGAAATAAAAGAAGCTATTAGACTAGAACTTATGGTTACATCTACTATTTCAAAAGTAAAATGATGAGATCTAGTAACCATTCTAGTAGTACAATTAAATTCATGCAGATAAATACCACAGAGGTATACTCATTAGAACAACTGCTATGAAAATATTTATAGAAAAGACAGAGGGAAGCTATGTCACAGTGGTGGGAAAATGACTGAAGTCTAGATGTCAGGTCAGGACCGATAATATTACAGACCTTTCTTTGAATTTTGTTGAGAACCTTGAGATTGACAGCACACCAGAATATTGGAAACATCTAAATTATAATATTCCAAATTATTGATTATTTTCTTATGGAAGTATATTCATTTATTTACTTTTTATTTATTTATTTATTTAATTTTATTTTTTATTATATTTTATCTAATGTGTGTGTGTGTGTGTGTGTGTGTGTGTGTGTGTGTGTGCTTTGCTATCTTCTTAATTTGTATATTTCTTTAATCTGCTTGGTGGACTAAGATAGCTAAGACAGATTACCAATTATCAATGTTTCAACTTTAAGTAGCCTTTTGACAAATTTCAGATGTTACTGAATTTGAATTCTTCTTTAAATTCTCAAGCATTTGGGATTTTCCTGTTGTAAACTTAATATAGCCTCAAATAAAAAAAAAATTTAGTGGTCTACTATCAAGGGATTTTACTGTCCAAATTAATGGTCCTGTTCTCCTAAGCCATCAATTTGGTAAATTTCTATCCAAAACCTCTCTAACAACACATGAGTAAAATGTACAGATGCTGTGTGCAACTAAAAAAATGTTTTTCCAAACCCTTCTGAAGAGTTGTAGAAAAAAGCAAGAAGTTTTCACATAATATTTTCATCAATAAAGACTGTGAACTCATACTGATGACCCCATCTAAACAGTTACTTTTAGGATTGAGTGGTATTATAGGATATAAACTCCTATATTTTATAGCCAATAAGTGAATCACAAAACAAGAGACACCTACAAATAAATCCTACTAAAATAAAAGATACAAAAAAACTTTACAATTCTGTACAAAACACAGCTCCAAAAATAAATAATTGGTTCCTGGAAACTGATTGGATATGACAAGTCATGTGATGTGCTCTATATGATAGTAGAAGTAATGCACACTGTTCAAAATAAATTAAAAAAAACTGTGGTATCTATATATATATATATATATATATATATATATATTTAGCATCCTGATACCACTTTCTTATCAATATTGAATTTTGTACAAATCTGTGCAAAAAGTGGATCAAAGAGCTTACCCAGCTTCATACATATTTTCAGGAAATCTCAACTTTTAAATGGTCAATAAACACACAAGTGGGCATTGCAATCCACCCATGTACAAGTCTTTTTCCAGCTCGTGAGCAAGTCAAGTTTTCCCAATCTTTTTCCAGGAGCCTGTCATGTGATTACATTAATTATAATTACCAGACATGAGTTTGTTCTCTCTCTTCTCATGATTTCATTTGCCTACGAAAATGTAACCTTAAAGTTGAACTCAGAAAAAAATTTTCACACATGCATGTACATACAAAATTTTCCAAACTATATTACAAACATATGAAACATTTCCAAATCAGCAACAAAAACTTTTCTTTTTTAAAATACTCTGATCAAGCTTTAGCACACATCTTTACAAAACAAAATTGTAATATTCTGTATATAAAAATATATTTGTTGTTCCAAACATATCTTTTTTGTCATAATTGAATATCGTTATCATTTGATATTTTACTTAAATTTATGTTTGTGGATATAGCATGTTTCATTAGCAGCAAAACATTTAAAACATTCATGCAACCTTCTTAGATTCACAACATATATATCTCACATGACTTTTTGTACATCAGTTTATATATACGCCCTCATATGTCATATGTATGTATATATATATATATATATATATATATATATATATATATATACTTATATATCAAGATAGATCAAATTTTAAATTTAAATTTAGTTGACATTATAATTTAACATTTTAAGTAGTATGTATGTCTGTGTATATATAAATATATATATATATATATATATATATATATATATATATATGATTTAACTAAAAAACAAACAAAGTCTAATTCAAAAAGATCTATTTAGTGGGTTAATACAGAAAAATTATAAATAAAAATTGGGTTTTAATTAAATTTTTAATATATATTTTTGCTGTTTTAATCATATTTCAATTATCTAAAATATCATTTTCAATATCATATTTCATGTATATTAGATATTTTATAAAAAAATGCATAAGTTTGTTTGATTATTTTTTCCTCATAAGGAGTCTTTTTCAAGCTGTAAATATTTTTTTCTTAGGGTAAATGCTGTTCTTAGATTAGGAACCTTGTTGTACTCTGTCAGAACCTCATTCTTTTAATTTAAATGGAAGTGCTCACTTTGAGCTTCCCAGCTCATATGACAAAAATTGACTTTAATTTTGTCCAGCTCTGCACACACACACATCCAGAATACCATTCAAAAATACCAGGGTCATAAAACATTTTTCTGACCAATCAGAAAAAGGTTCATATGGTTTTTACAGCAGCCGTTTCTGAGACCTGACAGATTATAAAGCCAACACTGTTTTCACCTACAAAGGCAGATCCAACCAGGCTGAAATTAGTGACAGATCCTATGGCAGGTAAGCTTAACCAAGTCATCAGCAGAAACACCAAACAACTTCTATCAACAGTGATGCCTTTGGCCAGCAGCAAAACCAGTGGCAGCAGCAGAGACTAATTCTTGACTACTACAATGTGATAATCTGTGTTAATTTTCTCCCACATGTCTACCTCACTCACCTACATAGGTGTGTTAAATTTCACCTGTGAGTCTATTTCACTCGATTGCATATGCCTCTTGATTTTCTCCACATGTCTATTTTGACTACTACCTTGTGATATATTGCAAACAAACTCTTATCTCTCACAACTGATATACAATACTTTGGAATGAGGCAAACATCCAAACCTTGTAAATCATGAGAAATATAAAATCCTTACTTATCTCAACCATGTCTTACTTCCATTTATTGATTTGTCACTCCCATATTTTTTTCTAGTTAATGTTAAAATTGCCATTACAATCTGAATAGGCTTACTCTTGATGTGATATGTATATACTTTAAAACAGTTATAATAAAAATTGTATTTTTCTTAACCTTAATAGGCTCATTATTGCCTTTACTCAAAAGTCTTGAAAATTTTTTAATGTGTATATTGTATGTTTGGCAAAGTTGGATGTTTGTGCCTGCAAAAAAATGAGATATCAAAAGGACAGTTTTTTCATTGACATTGTTATTATTTTAACTACCCTTCAATTCTCAGCAATATTTTTTGTTTTAAAAAGTGATGATTAGAATTGCAATAAAACCTAAACATATAATGAAATGGAATTTGTACATTTTTTTGTTCTTGAGAATTTATAACAAAAATATTAAACACTATTTATTTATTAGCTTTTTTATTTCAGTCAGTTATGTGCCATGTGTGATACACGCTTAGGCGATCATATATCTTTTGATACATGACTGATAAGGCAGATTTTTTCCCACAGTAGGTTGCCATTTCTTTCTACAGTAGATCAGTTGCCATGCAAGGCAATCCAGTCTGTCCTGCTATTTACCCATAGCTGGGAGGAGAAGAAGAGGATTTATACCTTTCCCAAGGGTATTAGTATGTAAGTGAATTAAATAGATTCAAATGGAATTCAAAATCAGCTCTCCGATTCCTCAATCCAAGCTGCTATCCATTAATCCACCATGGCTTCTAACAAGAATAATTTTATATTTACAACATTCTAAAAAATAATACATTTGTATTAAAACTAATGTAATCGAATATTAATCTTTTACCAATTTATAAATAAATAAATATAAAAACAATTTTTTATTCATAAATTTATAAACTTTTATTAAAATATGTGAACTAACTATAAGGAAATCATTTTATAAAGTTTGAACTAATTTGCAAGTAACTGATGTTTTGGCAACCATTCCAATAAACACTAATAAATAAATAGTGTAAATAAACAATAAATAAAAAAATAGTGTTTATTATTTTTGTTGTCAATTCTCAAGAACAAAGAAAATGTATAAATTCACTTTCATCTGTTTAGGTTTTATTACAATTCTAATCATCACTTTTTAAAAGAATAAGCATTACCAAGAAGTGAAGGTATTTAAATAATAGCATGTTAATGAAAAAATTGTTCTTTTCACATTCCATTTTTTTGCAGGCACAAAGGTCCAAGTTTGCTGTATGTTTCATAAACTGAATAGGTTTGTTTGTGCATTAACCATTAAAATTATTAAAGTCAATTAAAAGCATTATCTTTTATAATCTAAATGCTACAGTTCATAATTTCAAAAATCTGAATAGTCTTATTATAGCCTTTAAATCAATGAAAACTGTTGAAAACTGAGTTTTTATGGTGTAAATTATATTGTTCCTACTATAGGAGTGGTATATTAAAAACTAATTTTAATTAGTATTTATATGATGAAGATCATATTGAAAAATGATCCTGTATGATCAACTAAGTTAAGAAACTGAACCTGGTCCATACCTTGATGGGTGACCACTTGGGAATAACAGGTGCTAATAAGTATGGATGTACATTTGGTGTAGTGGATAAAGGCTTGAGATTGTTAATTGGAGAGCCAAGTTCCAATTCCAGTTAGGTTTGTTATGTTCATTTATGTGAAAATACCTTTAAAATAGATATGAATCCATCTCTTCTCTCCCCAGCTATGGGTTAATTACTTAGACTTGTATCACTAAAACATTATTATCTCAAAAAAATCTTACAATCTAAAAATATTTTCTGGCTTTAAATAACCTGTAATAAGTTGTAGAAAACAAATCAATCAATGATATGATGAAGTAACAGACAAGAATAAGGAACTAATTGAGTCTGAAGAAAAACAAATAGAATGGATATTTTTTAAAAATAAATTGAAAGCAAAATATATTAAACCCATTAAAAAATAATTTAAAACAAACTTCCTCAAAGAAATGTTTATTGGAGACAAGATGTCTATATGACTGGTATTTAATCTCAACACTTTGCGCTTGATGTAAGAGAGAAAAAGGTTAATCTGTTTTCAGAACAGTTCATCTGTTTGAAGCAAAATCCACTGACAGTGTATCATTGAGCAAAGGACAATTCTGAAGATGATAGGATGAAAAGAACAAGAATGAAGAATAAACAAAATCCTAGACAAGAACAGAGAGAAATATAGATAGAAAGAATGAGAATGGGTATAAATGCAAACACAGATTTAAAAAGAAGAATCATGTTTGAAAAAAAAGTTAAGACTAGAGATGTGAACAGAATGAACTCAAAATGGGAAGAAAAAGAAGAAAAATAAACCAGGACGGATAATACCAGAAATTAAAACCAAATGAGAATCAAATAGGAGAAAAGAGCAAAACTGAAATAAGAAAAGAGAGCAGCAGAGGTGAGAAAAGACAGATCATAAAATGAGAAGTAAAAGAACTAATTATGAAAAGAAACAGAACTAGAGATGAGAACAAAAAAAGAAGCAAACTGAGACAAGAGTGAACAAGAAATACAATAAGAAAGAAGGGGAGATAATAGCAGAGAGAAACCAAACAAATAACAAAGAGCACCAAAAGAACCAAATATGAGAAGACAGAGGACGAGAGACAAGTCTAAAATGAAATGGAAACAAAGAGAAACAAAGAACGAAACTTGAGAAAAGAGAGAGCCAGAAATAAGTTTAGAAAGGATGGGAGATTATAGCAGACAGAAACCCAGAAGATAACAAAGAGAACCAAAAGAACCAAATATGAGAAGACAGGGAACCAGAGATAAGAATAAAAAGTAATGGAAGCAAAGAGAAAGAAAAGAATGAAAGTTGAGAAAAGAGAGTGCGATAAATAGGGTTAGAATGGATGGGAGATTATAGCAGACAGAAACCCAAAAGATAACAAAGAGAACCAAAAGAACCAAATATAAGAAGAGAGAGAACCAGAGATAAGACTAAAAAGTAATGGAAGCAAAGAGAAAGAAAAGAATGAAAGTTGAGAAAAGAGAGAGCCAGAAATCAGGTTAGAATGGATGGGTGATTATAGCAGGCAGAAACCCAAAAGATAACAAAGAGAACCAAAAGAACCAAATATAAGAAGACAGAGAACCAGAGATAAGACTAAAAAGTAATGGAAGCAAAGAGAAACAAAGAACGAAAATTGAGAAAAAGAGAGCCAGAAATAAGGTTAGAAAGGAGAGGAGATTATAGCAGGCAGAAACCCAAAAGATAACAAAGAGAACCAAAAGAACCAAATATAAGAAGACAGAGAACCAGAGATAAGACTAAAAAGTAATGGAAGCAAAGAGAAACAAAGAACGAAAATTGAGAAAAGAGAGAGCCAGAAATAAGGTTAGAAAGGAGAGGAGATTATAGCAGGCAGAAACCCAAAAGATAACAAAGAGAACCAAAAGAACCAAATATAAGAAGACAGAGAACCAGAGATAAGATTAAAAGTAATGGAAGCAAAGAGAAACAAAGAATGAAAATTGAGAAAAGAGAGAGCCAGAAATAAGGTTAGAAAGGAGAGGAGATTATAGCAGGTAGAAACCCAAAAGAAAACAAAGAGAACCAAAAGAACCAAATATAAGAAGACAGAGAACCAGAGATAAGACTAAAAAGTAATGGAAGCAAAGAGAAACAAAGAAGGAAAATTGAGAAAAGAGAGAGCCAGAAATAAGGTGAGAAAGGGGAGGAGATTATAGCAGGCAGAAACCCAAAAGATAACAAAGAGAACCAAAAGAACCAAATATAAGAAGACAGAGAACCAGAGATAAGACTAAAAAGTAATGGAAGCAAAGAGAAACAAAGAACGAAAATTGAGAAAAGAGAGAGCCAGAAATAAGGTTAGAAAGGAGAGGAGATTATAGCAGGCAGAAACCCAAAAGATAACAAAGAGAACCAAAAGAACCAAATATAAGAAGAGAGAGAGAGATAAGACTAAAAAGTAATGGAAGCAAAAGAGAAACAAAAGAACGAAAATTGAGAAAAGAGAGAGCCAGAAATAAGGTTAGAAAAAAGAGGAGATTATAGCAGGCAGAAACCCAAAAGATAACAAAAGAGAACCAAAAAAGAACCAAATATAAGAAGACAGAGAACCAGAGATAAGACTAAAAAAGTAATGGAAGCAAAGAGAAACAAAGAAGGAAAATTGAGAAAAGAGAGAGCCAGAAATAAGGTTAGAAAGGAGAGGAGATTATAGCAGGCAGAAACCCAAAAGATAACAAAGAGAACCAAAAGAACCAAATATAAGAAGACAGAGAACCAGAGATAAGACTAAAAATAATGGAAGCAAAAGAAACAAAGAATGAAAATTGAGAAAAGAGAGAGCCAGAAATAAGGTTAGAAAGGAGAGGAGATTATAGCAGGCAGAAACCCAAAAGATAACAAAGAGAACCAAAAGAACCAAATATAAGAAGACAGAGAACCAGAGATAAGACTAAAAAGTAATGGAAGCAAAGAGAAACAAAAAAGAACGAAAATTGAGAAAAAGAGAGCCAGAAATAAGGTTAGAAAGGAGAGGAGATTATAGAAGGCAGAAACCCAAAAGATAACAATGAGAACCAAAAAGAACCAAATATAAGAAGACAGAGAACCAGAGATAAGACTAAAAAAGTAATGAAAGCAAAAGAGAAACAAAGAACGAAAATTGAGAAAAGAGAGAGCCAGAAATAAGGTTAGAAAGGAGAGGAGAGTATAGCAGGCAGAAACCCAAAAGATAACAAAGAGAACCAAAAGAACCAAATATAAGAAGACAGAGAACCAGAGATAAGACTAAAAAGTAATGGAAGCAAAGAGAAACAAAGAACGAAAATTGAGAAAAGAGAGAGCCAGAAATAAGGTTAGAAAGGGGAGGAGATTATAGCAGGCAGAAACCCAAAAGATAACAAAGAGAACCAAAAGAACCAAATATGAGAAGACAGAGAACCAGAGATAAGACTAAAAAGTAATGGAAGCAAAGAGAAACAAAAAACGAAAATTGAGAAAAGAGAGCCAGAAATAAGGTTAGAAAGGGGAGGAGATTATAGCAAGGCAGAAACCCAAAAGATAACAAAGAGAACCAAAAGAACCAAATATGAGAAGACAGAGAACCAGAGATAAGACTAAAAAGTAATGGAAGCAAAAGAGAAACAAAGAATGAAAATTGAGAAAAAGAGAGCCAGAAATAAGGTTAGAAAGGAGAGGAGATTATAGCAGGCAGAAACCCAAAAGATAACAAAGAGAACCAAAAGAACCAAATATAAGAAGACAGAGAACCAGAGATAAGACTAAAAAGTAATGGAAGCAAAGAGAAACAAAGAACGAAAATTGAGAAAAGAGAGAGCCAGAAATAAGGTTAGAAAGGAGAGGAGATTATAGAAGGCAGAAACCCAAAAGATAACAATGAGAACCAAAAGAACCAAATATAAGAAGACAGAGAACCAGAGATAAGACTAAAAAGTAATGAAAGCAAAGAGAAACAAAGAACGAAAATTGAGAAAAGAGAGAGCCAGAAATAAGGTTAGAAAGGAGAGGAGAGTATAGCAGGCAGAAACCCAAAAGATAACAAAGAGAACCAAAAGAACCAAATATAAGAAGACAGAGAACCAGAGATAAGACTAAAAAAGTAATGGAAGCAAAGAGAAACAAAGAACGAAAATTGAGAAAAGAGAGAGCCAGAAATAAGGTTAGAAAGGGAGGAGATTATAGCAGGCAGAAACCCAAAAAGATAACAAAGAGAACCAAAAGAACCAAATATGAGAAGACAGAGAACCAGAGATAAGACTAAAAAAGTAATGGAAGCAAAGAGAAACAAAAGAACGAAAATTGAGAAAAGAGAGAGCCAGAAATAAGGTTAGAAAGGGGAGGATTATAGCAGGCAGAAACCCAAAAGATAACAAAAGAGAACAAAAGAACCAAATATGAGAAGACAGAGAACCAGAGATAAGACTAAAAATAATGGAAGCAAAGAAAAAAAAGAATGAAAGAACCAAATTGAGAGAAAAAGAGAGACTAAAAATAATAGGAAGCGATAAATAGGGTGAGAATGGATGGGAGATTATAGCAGACAGAAAACCCAAAAGATAACAAAGAGAACCAAAAGAACCAAATATAAGAAGAGAGAGAACAGAAATAAGACTAAAAAGTAATGGAAGCAAAAAAGAAACAAAGAACGAAAATTGAGAAAAGAGAGAGCCAGAAATAAGGTTAGAAAGGAGAGGAGATTATAGCAGGCAGAAAAAAAGATAACAAAGAGAACCAAAAGAACCAAATATAAGAAGACAGAGAACCAGAGATAAGACTAAAAAGTAATGGAAGCAAAGAGAAACAAAGAACGAAAATTGAGAAAACAGAGAGCCAGAAATAAGGTTAGAAAGGAGAGGAGATTATAAGGCAGAAACCCAAAAGATAACAAAAGAGAACCAAAAAGAACCAAATATGAGAAGACAGAGAACCAGAGATAAGACTAAAAAGTAATGGAAGCAAAGAGAAACAAAAAACGAAAATTGAGAAAAGAGAGAGCCAGAAATCAGGTTAGAATGGATGGGAGATTATAGCAGGCAGAAACCAAAAATAACAAAGAGAACCAAAAGAACCAAATATGAGAAGACAGTGAACCAGAGATAAGACTAAAAAGTAATGGAAGCAAAGAGAAAGAAAAGAATGAAAGTTGAGAAAAGAGAGAGCCAGAAATCAGGTTAGAATGGATGGGAGATTATAGCAGGCAGAAACCCAAAAGATAACAAAGAGAACCAAAAGAACCAAATATGAGAAGACAGAGAACCAGAGATAAGACTAAAAAGTAATGGAAGCAAAGAGAAAGAAAAGAATGAAAGTTGAGAAAAGAGAGAGCCAGAAATCAGGTTAGAATGGATGGGAGATTATAGCAGGCAGAAACCCAAAAGATAACAAAGAGAACCAAAAGAACCAAATATGAGAAGACAGAGAACCAGAGATAAGACTAAAGGAAAGAGAAAAAAGAATAATGGAAGCCAGAAAAGAGAAAAGAAAAGAATGAACCAAAAGTTGAGAAAAGAGAGAACCATGAAATCAGAAAGGTTAGAATGGATGGGAGATTATAGCAGAGCAGAGAAACCAAAAGATAACAAAGAGAACCAAAAGAACCAAATATGAGAAGACAGAGAACCAGAGATAAGACTAAAAAGTAATGGAAGCAAAAAGAAAAGAAAAAAGAATGAAAGTTGAGAAAAGAGAGAGCCAGAAATCAGGTTAGAATGGATGGGAGATTATAGCAGGCAGAAACCCAAAAGATAACAAAGAGAACCAAAAGAACCAAATATGAGAAGACAGAGAACCAGAGATAAGACTAAAAAGTAATGGAAGCAAAGAGAAAGAAAAGAATGAAAGTTGAGAAAAGAGAGAGCCAGAAATCAGGTTAGAATGGATGGGAGATTATAGAAGGCAAAAAGAAACCCAAAAAGATAACAAAGAGAACCTAAAAAAAAGAACCAAATATGAGAAGACAGAGAACCAAAGATAAGACAAAAAAAAAATATGAGAAGACAGAGAAAGAAAAAGAATGGAAGAAAAGAGAAAGAAAAGAATGAAAGTTGAGAAAAGAGAGGTTAGAAATGGATGGGGAGATTATAGCAGACAGAAACCCAAAAGATAACAAAGAGAACCAAAAGAACCAAATATGAGAAGACAGAGAACCAGAGATAAGACTAAAAAATAATGGAAGCAAAAAAGAGAAAGAAAAGAATGAAAGTTGAGAAAAGAGAGTGCGATAAATAGGGTTAGAATGGATGGGAGATTATAGCAGGCAGAAACCCAAAAGATACCAAAGAGAACCAAAAGAACCAAATATGAGAAGATAGAGAACCAGAGATAAGACTAAAAATAATGGAAGCAAAGAGAAAGAAAAGAATGAAAGCTGAGAAAAGAGAGAGCCAGAAATCAGGTTAGAATGCATGGGAGATTATAGCAGACAGAAACCCAAAAGATAACAAAGAGAACCAAAAGAACCAAATATGAGAAGACAGAGAACCAGAGATAAGACTAAAAATAATGGAAGCAAAGAGAAAGAAAAAGAATGAAAGTTGAGAAAAGAGAGCGATAAATAGGGTTAGAATGGATGGGAGATTATAGCAGGCAGAAACCCAAAAGATAACAAAGAGAACCAAAAGAACCAAATATGAGAAGACAGAGAACCAGAGATAAGACTAAAAAAATAATGGAAGCAAAGAGAAAGAAAAAGAATGAAAGTGAGAGAAAAAAGAGTGCGATAAATAGGGTTAGAATGGATGGGAGATTATAGCAGGCAGAAACCCAAAAGATAACAAAGAGAAACCAAAAGAACCAAATATGAGAAGACAGAGAACCAGAGATAAGAAAGTTGAGAAAAAAAATAATGGAAGAAAAAGAGAAAAACAAAAGAATGAAAGTTGAGAAAGAGAGACTAAAAAGTAATGGAAGCAAAGAGAAACAAATCAGGGTTAGAAAAATGGATGGGAGATTATAGCAGGCAGAAACCCAAAAGATAACAAAGAGAAACCAAAAAGAACCAAATAAAAGAAGACAGAGAACCAGAGATAAGACTAAAAATAATGGAAACAAAGAGAAAGAAAAAAGAATGAAAAATTGAGAAAAGAGAGAGCGAGAAATAGGGTTAGAATGGGGGAGATTATAGCAGGCAGAAACCCAAAAGATAACAAAAGAGAACCAAAAAGAACCAAAATATGAGAAGACAGAGAACCAGAGATAAGACTAAAAAGTAATGGAAGCAAAGAAAGAAAAGAACGAAAATTGAGAAAAGAGAGAGCCAGAAATAAGGTTAGAATGGATGGGAGATTATAGCAGACAGAAACCAAAAGATAACAAAGAGAACCAAAAAAAGAACCAAATATGAGAAGACAGAGAACCAGAGATAAGACTAAAAAAGTAATGGAAGCAAAGAGAGAAAGAAAAGAATGAAAATTGAGAAAAGAGAGAGCCAATAAATAGGGTTAGAATGGATGGGAGATTATAGCAGGCAGAAACCCAAAAGATAACAAAAGAGAACCAAAAGAACCAAATATAAGAAGACAGAGAACCAGAGATAAGACTAAAAAGTAATGGAAGCAAAGAGAAAAAAGAATGAAAGTTGAGAAAAGAGAGTCACGATAAATAAGGTTAGAATGGATGGGAGATTATAGCAGACAGAAACCCAAAAGATAACAAAAAAGAACCAAAAAGAACCAAATATGAAGACAGAGAACCAGAGATAAGACTAAAAGTAATGGAAACAAGAAAGAAAAGAATGAAAGTTGAGAAAAGAGAGACGATAAATAGGGTTAGAATGGATGGGAGATTATAGCAGACAGAAACCCAAAAGATAACAAAGAGAACCAAAAGAACCAAATATGAGAAGACAGAGAACCAGAGATAAGACTAAAAAGTAATGGAAGCAAAAAAGAAAGAAAAGAATGAAAATTGAGAAAAGAGAGTCGATAAATAGGGTTAGAATGGATGGGATTATAGCAGACAGAAACCCAAAAAAGATAAAAAGAGAACCAAAAAGAACCAAATATGAGAAGACAGAGAACCAGAGATAAGACTAAAAGTAATGGAAGCAAAGAGAAAGAAAAAGAATGAAAGTTGAGAAAAGAGAGTCGATAAATAGGGTTTAAAATGGATGGGAGATTATAGCAGACAGAAACCCAAAAGATAACAAAAGAGAACCAAAAGAACCAAATATGAGAAGACAGAGAACCAGAGATAAGACTAAAAAATAATGGAAGCAAAGAGAAAAAGAAAAGAATGAAAGTTGAGAAAAGAGAGTCACGATAAATAGGGTTAGAATGGATGGGAGATTATAGCAGACAGAAACCCAAAAAGATAACAAAAAGAGAACCAAAAAAAGAAACCAAATATGAGAAGACAGAGAACCAGAGATAAGACTAAAAAGTAATGGAAGCAAAGAGAAAGAAAAGAATGAAAGTTGAAAAAAGAGAGTGCGATAAATAGGGTTAGAATGGATGGGAGATTATAGCAGACAGAAACCCAAAAGATAACAAAGAGAAACCAAAAGAACCAAATATGAGAAGACAGAGAACCAAGAGATAAGACTAAAAAAGTAATGGAAGCAAAAGAAAGAAAAGAATGAAAGTTGAGAAAAGAGAGTGCGATAAATAGGGTTAGAATGGATGGGAGATTATAGCAGACAGAAACCCAAAAGATAACAAAGAAGAACCAAAAGAACCAAATATGAGAAGACAGAGAACCAGAGATAAGACTAAAAAAGTAATGGAAGCAAAAGAAAGAAAAAGAAAAGAATGAAAGGAGAAATAGGGTTAGAATGGATAAATAGGGTTAGAATGGATGGGAGATTATAGCAGACAGAAACCCAAAAGATAACAAAAGACTAAAAGAACTAAATATTAGAAAAGAGAATAAAAAGAACCAAATATGATGGAAGAAGACAGAGAACCAGAGAATAAGACTACCAAATATAATGGAATAAGACTAAAAAAGTAAAAGAAAAGAATGAAAAATTGAGAGAAAAGAGAGAGCGATAAATAGGGTTAGAATGGATGGGAGATTATAGCAGACAGAAACCCAAAAAGATAACAAAGAGAACCAAAAGAACCAAATATGAGAAGACAGAGAACCAGAGATAAGACTAAAAATAATGGAAGCAAAAAGAAAAAGAAAAAAGAATGAAATATTGAGAAAAGAGAGCCATAAATAAGGTTAGAATGGATGGAGATTATAGCAGGCAGAAACCCAAAAAGATAACAAAAGACAAAAAAGAACCAAATATGAGAAGACAGAGAACCAGAGATAAGACTAAAAATAATGGAAGCAAAGAGAAAGAAAAGAATGAAAATTGAGAAAAGAGAGCCGATAAATAAAGGTTAGAAATGGATGGGAGATTATAGCAGGCAGAAACCCAAAAGATAACAAAGAGAACCAAAAGAACCAAATATGAGAAGACAGAGAACCAGAGATAAGACTAAAAATAATGGAAGCAAAGAGAAACAAAAGAATGAAATTGAGAAAAGAGAGGCCAGAAATAAGGTTAGAATGGATGGGAGATTATAGCAGGCAGAAACCCAAAAGATAACAAAGAACCAAAAGAACCAAAAAAAGAACCAAAATATGAGAAGACAAAGAGAACCAGAGAAATAAGACTAAAAAAATAATGGAAGCAAAAGAAACCCAAAAGAAAAAGAACCAAAAGAAAAATTGAGAAAAAGAGATAAGACTAAAAAAAATAAGGTTAGAATGGATGGGGAGATTAGGTTAGCAGGCAGAAACCCAAAAAGATAACAAAGAGAAAAAAAGAACCAAATATAAGAAGACAGAGAACCAGAGATAAGACTAAAAATAATGGAAGCAAAAAGAAAAAAAGAATGAAAGTTGAGAGAAAAGAGAGTGCCAGAAATAAGGTTAGAATGGATGGGAGATTATAGCAGGCAAAACCCAAAAAGATAACAAAGAGAACCAAAAGAACCAAATATGAGAAGACAGAGAACCAGAGATAAGACTAAAAAATAATGGAAGCAAAGAAAAAAAAGAATGAAAGTTGAGAAAAAGAGAGAGCCAGAAATAAGGTTAGAATGGATGGGAGATTATAGCAGGCAGAAGACAAAAAGATAACAAAAGAGAGACAAAAGAACCAAATATGAGAAGACAGAGAACCAGAGATAAGACTAAAAGTAATGGAAGCAAAGAGAAAGAAAAGAATGAAAGTTGAGAAAAGAGAGTAGAATAAATAGGGTTAGAATGGATGGGAGATTATAGCAGACAGAAGTCTAAAAAAGATAACAAAGAGAACCAAAAAAGAACCAAATATGAGAAGACAGAGAACCAGAGATAAGACTAAAAGTAATGGAAGCAAGAGAAAAAAAGAATGAAAGTTGAGAAAAGAGAGTGCGATAAATAGGGTTAGAATGGATGGGAGATTATAGCAGGCAGAAACCCAAAAAGATAACAAAGAGAAAAAAAAGAAACAAATATGAGAAGACAGAGAACCAGAGATAAGACTAAAAAATAAAGAAAAAGCAAAGAAGAAAGAAAAGAATGAAAGTTGAGAAAGAGAGTGCGATAAATAGGGTTAGAATGGATGGGAGATTATAGCAGACAGAAACCCAAAAGATAACAAAGAGAACCAAAAAGAACCAAATATGAGAAGACAGAGAACCAGAGATAAGACTAAAAGTAATGGAAGCAAAGAGAAAGAAAAAGAATGAAAGTTGAAAAAAGAGAGTGCGATAAATAGGGTTAGAATGGATGGGGAGATTATAGACAGAAACCAAAAGATAACAAAGAGAACCAAAAGAACCAAATATGAGAAGACAGAGAACCAGAGATAAGACTAAAAAAGTAATGGAAGCAAAGAGAAAGAAAAGAATGAAAGTTGAGAAAAGAGAGATGCGATAAATAGGTTAGAATGGATGGGAGATTATAGCAGACAGAAACCCAAAAAAGACAACAAAAGAGAACCAAAAGAACCAAATATGAGAAGACAGAGAACCAGAGATAAGACTAAAAATAATGGAAGCAAAGAGAAAGAAAAGAATGATAACAAAAGAAGAACCAAAAATAACCAAATATGAGGTTAGAATGGATGGGAGATTATAGCAGAAAAAACCAAAAGAGAAAAAAAGAAGAACCAAAAGAACCAAATATGAGAAGACAGAGAACCAGATATCCAAAGACTAAAAAAATAAGAAGCAAAAGAGAAAGAAAAGAATGACTAAAAAAGTTGAGAAGAAAAAAGAGAGGCGATAAAATAGGGTTAGAATGGATGGGAGATTATAGCAGGCAGAAACCCAAAAGATAACAAAAGAAACCAAAAAGAACCAAATATGAGAAGACAGAGAACCAGAGATAAGACTAAAAATAATGGAAGCAAAAGAAAGAAAAAGAATGAAATTGAGAAAAGAGAGAAAGAGAAATCAGGTTAGAATGGATGGGAGATTATAGCAG